CCATGTCCGACAGGGCACAGGGCAGGGCAAGCCAGATTATTTTGCCCTGGTAAATTATGTACCAACCTTCAAGTTATAGGTGTTTTCTTAATCAAAATTTTTAATCTTTTGTACAGTTACGTGAGACATCGTTATTAGCTACCCACGTTTACATTTCGTCTACTATATCTCTTAGCAACAAACTTTACGTTTCGGTATTGGTTATCTTTTGTTTCCTTTTGAATAGAATAGAGACCGTCATCAATACAGGGCGCTCTGATGCCTTGGTGTCCTGGCCTCAGATCAGAGCGAAATAATTTGCCCTGATAACATTTTTTTTTTAAAGTCATTTGAAATCGTTTACTAAATCCAGACATGAATCTTTCAGAACATTTGTCATCTATGTAATTCTACCAACTAGTGCTGAGTTCATGTTTAGATCGATTTCACTAGAGCTTATGTATATGATACTCATTCTAATTCATCATTGTTCAATACGATCTTTTTCGATTTCGAAGAGATTGAACATCCCTTATCAAATCATAAGGAAGTCAAACAAATCATAAAAAAAATGAATCTCGACCTGGTGCCAAATAGTGATGAAAGACTTTAAATCAATTAAATGATGATACTTAGTCACACAGAATCGCAGTTTTCATTGACGGATATTTTGTTTTTGTATGAATATGCTTCTAGTGTCATGTACCCATGCTAAAAAAGGCAAGATATTGTATTCACAAGTATTATTTCTTCATCAAGAATAAATTGAAATGACACCATTTTTACTCGATTAGAAACTGATTTTTAGTCGTCAAGGTTGAGTGTTTTTATTGTCAAGCATTTTCTTTTGAATTCCTTCTAATCGACCAAAAATATTTGTCAATTTTTATTAATTAAAATTTATTAATGAATTTCACTCGAAAAAAAAATTTGAAAAAATCCTAGAAATTAGAATAAAACGAAATATAAGTTTAAAATCAGATTATTATTGATTAAAAATTGTACAAGTTCAATCGAGTTTTGGCGGGATTCATAATTGTTTTTATACGTGAATAATATTCTTTTGAAATTATATAGAAAAGTATGAGCACTGAATATAAACAAGAACAAATTTTTTCATAAGGTTAACAACCCATACTATAGTCGACCTCAGTTTATATGCCCTGAGGGCACTCTGCCCTGTCCCGTCCTGCCCTGAGGACAGGGCAGGGCGAAAAAATTTTGTATGAGTTATTTTCCGGGCAGGACAGGGCAAAGCTAGGCAGGGCACAGGGCAGAGCAGGGCGAAAAAAAGTGCCCTGTAACGGTCTCTGTTGTATACTATTTTCATGTTTACTAGGTCCGCGTATTGCTTTACCAAGAAAAGCAGATGTTTGTATCATTATTGTTGTTTATTTAATTTAATATAATATTATTATTTAGGAATTAGTTGCTGTTGTTGAAAAATTAAATGAATTAGCTCAAAAGGATTCTGATTTGGATGAAGAAACCGATATTTAGGATTCATTAAAAGAAAGAAATTGTACACAAAATGAATTTATTAATATTAATAATCCAAACAGAGTTTTACGTGATCTTTTATCAAATCAATTAATTCATTTACTTGATCCAACTCAATCACACGAAGTTTGTTTTTTACTCTCTCTCTTAAGTGCCCCTCCCCCTCAGAAAATCCAATTTTTCAGAGACGAGTCAAAATTGAAGTTTTATCATAGGAAGATGCATTGAAGTCTCCTCTTTCAGAATATCTACGGTTTATCGAAATATGAATTGATTTTGATGAACTTATCGTCTAAAACTTCGCTCCTATTATTATATTTTTCGAGAAATTTGCACGACTTTTTTTCAAGCTTTTTCTACTTTTTAGGCTGCTTTCTCTTTGCATCAGCATTTCGTAAAGGTTTTTTTTATACTAATCACTAAGAGATTATGAACACTTAATATTAAGATCACATATTTATAGCCTGTCTTGAACATTGATATATAAAACTGGTGATTTTCGAAAAAATCGATTTCTAATACTTATTTTCCGTTTTTCTCAAAATCGATTTTTTCGAAAGTACTATTTACGCGTTCAAGGATTTTTTAATAACGACTCAATAGATAAGGGATAATTTGTTTTTGTTGAATAGAGGATAGTTAGGGCTAGGTCGTAATAGAGTCCGATTTTTGAATTTCTCTTTTGGTGAAATAAAAAGCTTAGATATTTCATTTTTGTTGGCAATTTTTTTGGGCACGATTTCGTGAATTTTACGAAAAAGATTTTTTAAAATTAAACAAAGGGAAATTCAAAAATCGGGCTCTATTACGACCTAGCCCTAGGGCACTCCACAACCTGAAAACTGCCCCGGCATGTTAGCTCGTATCCTTATTGCGAAATCTTTGTCCGCGTAAAGCGTAACTAGAACTTGTGCATTTCTTTGAGATTTGGGGGAGATATTTTAACCATAAGCTATTCTAGTCAAGACTAACATTCTCTGAAATTTTGGTTGAAATCGGATGAAAAATAACAAAGTTCGTTTTTGAGGGGGCCCCCCTTAATGTATCTATTTATTTAATTAAGTATCGACAAGCTATTGGAAACGCTCCACAATGAACAACATCAATAATTGCATCACCATTTCAACATATAAATAGAAATTCAAAGGAGACTATGCCTTGCAGCTGAATTTTTGAGCATATAACGAGATATACGTAGCCTTATAGAGGAAGACTTTCTCTTTCTAATGGTGTATGTATTATTAAGTTCCACTCTAAAAAATGCCATGCGTCTTACAAGACGGTTCATGCGTCTATTTTTCATTTATTTTGCTTGAGCGTCTAAAATCGGTCATCCGTTGACACTTGGCACGTCTAGCTGAGACATGTGA